ACGGTTTCTTTCATTTTCATTCTCTCTTATTTTCTTTCTCCTCTCTCTCTTTTTTTTTTTTTTTTTTTAAGGCTTTAAACAACGATAGTATGAAATTGTTCCTACCGCCTTAAGTATGCTGGACCAGGAATTGCTGTGATAAAAGGTATGCCGCTTCAGACAGCCTTACTGAAGATAAGACAGACATTCTGGAAAAAAATTCAGGTTCTTTCAGAATGAAGGGATCCGCTACTTCCGAAGAAGAACTAATGTGGATGAGAAACTGAAAGAAGGTAACTGAAAAGTGTTGTCAGCTGAAGTAAGTAACTATCTCTGAGATACATCAAAGTTTTAGGCAATGTTTTAGGCAATGACACCAGGAGGGGTCATCTTGAATTACCTACGTATCACCTTAGACTAATCACCTTATTACCTTAGTCTTTCCCCAAATGTTTTCGTGCTCAGTCTCAATTCCTCCTGCCTCATTTACACACATAGAGCAACTAAGATTGATTCAAGTGCATCCTTCCCCTTGGGAGGCAAATAAAAGGTCTAGTGCCTAAAACATTCTTCTTGATTTGTTCTAGTTGCTTGCACCAAACTGTAAGATGTTGTTGCAAATACTGGTTTCCTAAATGTGTTAGCTCTTCTCCTTTGTCCGGCATTGGTAAGGCCTGCCATCCAATATCTCCAAAGGGGCTTAGTTTGACCAAGTTTACCTAAATTATGTTACTTTGGTGAAAAGCGCGGTTTTCACCACAATGATATCACAACAACTCAGACTTTGGTGAAAAGAAGTTGCGATTTCTTTATGCGTCTCTCATGTACATGGGAAACCAGTCTTCATGACAAAAGTTTTGGAATCACAGAATCACACAGAATCACAGAATTTCTAGGTTGGAAGAGACCTCAAGATCATCGAGTCCAACCTCTAACCTAACACTAACAGTCCCCACTAAACCATATCCCTAAGCTCTACATCTAAACGTCTTTGAAGACTTCCAGGGATGGTGACTCCACCACCTCCCTGGGCAGCCCGTTCCAGTGCCTCACAACCCTTTCAGTAAAGAAATTCTTCCTAACATCTAACCTAAAACTCCCCTGGCGTAACTTTAGCCCATTCCCCCTCGTCCTGTCACCAGGCACGTGGGAGAACAGGCCAACCCCCACCTCTCTACAGCCTCCTTTAATGTACTTATACAGAGCAATAAGGTCACCCCTGAGCCTCCTCTTCTCTAGGCTGAACAAGCCCAGCTCTTTCAGCCGCTCCTCATAGGACTTGCTCTCCAGGCCCCTCACCAGCTTCGTCGCCCTTCTTTGGACCCGCTCAAGCACCTCGATGTCCTTCTTGTAGCGAGGGGCCCAAAACTGAACACAGTACTCGAGGTGCGGCCTCACCAGAGCCGAGTACAGGGGGACGATCACCTCCCTAGCCCTGCTGGTCACAGTGTTTCTGATACAAGCCAGGATGCCGTTGGCCTTCTTGGCCACCTGAGCACACTGCTGGCTCATATTCAGCCGACTGTCCACCATCACTCCCAGGTCCTTCTCTGCCTGGCAGCTCTCCAACCATTCCTCTCCCAGCCTGTAGTTCTGCTTGGGGTTATTGCGCCCCAGGTGCAGGACCCGGCACTTGGCCTTGTTGAACTTCATACAGTTGACCTCAGCCCATCGGTGCAGCCTATCCAGATCCTCCTGCAGAGCCTTCTACCCTCGAGCAGATCGACACACGCACCTAGCTTGGTGTCATCTGCAAACTTACTGAGGGTGCACTCAATGCCATCATCCAGATCATTGATGAAGATGTTAAAGAGGACCGGCCCCAGCACCGAGCCCTGGGGGACGCCACTAGTGACTGGCCTCCAACTGGACTTGGCTCCATTCACCACAACTCTTTGGGGCCCGGCTATCCAGCCAGTTTCTAACCCAACGAAGCGTGCGCCAGTCCAAGCCAAGAGCAGCCAGTTTCTTGAGGAGAATGCTGTGGGAGACGGTGTCAAAAGCCTTGCTGAAGTCAAGGTAGACCACATCCACAGCCTTTCCCTCATCCACCCAGCGCGTCACTTTGTCGTAGAAGGAGATCAGGTTCGTCAAGCAGGACCTGCCTTCCATAAACCCATGCTGGCTGGGCCCGATCGCCTGCTTGCCCTTCAAGTGCCGCATGATGACTCCCAAGAGGATCGCTGCCCTGGAATCCATTATTATTGTTATTATTATTGTAATTATTAAATAATTATTAAATGATGATTATTTATTAATTATGTTATTAATTAATATTAATATTAATAATAATAATAACAAAAACATCATCATCATTATAAAACATGTGGATGTGGCCTGGAGGAAGCTGCGGCCCATGGAGAGCCCCCACAGGAGCAGGCCCTGGGCTGAAGCTGCAGCCCATAGAGAGGAGCCCACGCAAGAGTACTGCATGGTAGTACTGCTGCACAAACCTGTGCACCCTCTAGGCACTAGCAGCATGGAGATGGGGACACCCTGCCCCAGGGTCTGACCGCAGCAGCTGCACACGCAGCCCACAGACACCCATGCACGCAGAACAGAACAGAAGAGACAGCCCTCATCTATGAAATAGTCCTGAACAATTTTATTCAGAAGCCCCGTCCTCGGGACCGAAGCTGCCATCTGTGGGGAGCTCCCTGGTACTGTCAGCCTCACGTTGCTCTAGGTCTTCTGTGATGCAGCTGAAGCAGTAACTCCTGCGGAGAGCCCGAAGTGCTCTCCTGAAGAGGGGGGGCAATTGCGAGCGAGCCACAGCGTGCGGGAGGGCAGCGGTGCCTGTGGGGGTCAGAAAGCTGTACGTGAGGGGCTGGGATGGAACTGGGCATGGTCCTGCCTGCCCCCGCCACCAAGGCTTTCCCTTGGGGAGGGGACAGTTGGACATGGAGGGACCCTGTGCGTGGAGTGCTGCCAGCCTCCGTGCCGTGGGCTGGGATGGCTCCATACTTTAGGACATACCTGGCCCTTCCTCTGGCACCGATTGGAAGTGTGAGGAACACTGTGCACTGCTTCTATGCTCGGAGGAAACCTGCATGGGGAGAGAAAACCACAGCCCTGTGGGCCACTGTTTGGCCATGCTCCGGGCCCCGATGCCCCCGATGCCAGATGGATAAGGGATGAGGGGCCTCGAGGCCCACCGACAGGGGTCTGTGGCTTCCATGACTGTGGGACGAGGAAGGTATACCTTGCTTACCTCTTGCAGAAGGCCCCCAGCCAGGGGAGAAGGTGCTGCTTCTTCTTCCTCACATGCTGATGGGGTGAGAGGTGCTGTCCTGGCCTCCAACACAGGGTGCGCAGCCAGGGGAGAGGCTGAAGCTTTTCCCTCTTTGGGCATGCAGGCAGGGGGGAGCTCCTCGGGCCCAGGAACTGCGGCCATAGGAGCAGCTGAAGGCCTGGCATCTGCCTCACCAGATGGGGCAGGAGACGTGCCGGGCAGGACGTCGTCTGCTTCTGCCACAGCTTCTATCCTGGGGCTCTCTTCCCACTCTTCCTGAATGTCCTGCAGAATGGTCTTACTCGTTGTGGAGCAAAAGTAGGGAAGGCGCTGGCCCGCAGTCCTCACTGCCACCTCCTGCCTGCCCGATGCACTGGCTGCAGTGCTGTCAGCTGTGTCACCGTCGTCTGCTGCCCAGATCCTTCGCAACCTCGGAACCTTCACGCTGCTCGGCCAGGACTCGTTCCACCGGGACAACTGGCAGCCTTCCCTCTCCCCGCTCGGAATGATCTGCATTGCTGGCCGAAAGGAGGAGCACCCATAGATATCCCAGTTGATCTTGACCCGGTCTTTCAATGTCGGCGGTCTTTTCTGGCTGCTTGTGGAAGGGCCGGGCACAGCAGCAGCCAGGGGAGAGGCTGAAGCTTTTCCCTCTTTGGGCATGCAGGCCGGGGGGAGCTCCTCGGGCCCAGGAACTGCGGCCATAGGAGCAGCTGAAGGCCTGGCATCTGCCTCACCAGATGGGGCAGGAGACGTGCTGGGCAGGACGTCGTCTGCTTCTGCCACAGCTTCTATCCTGGGGCTCTCTTCCCACTCTTCCTGAATGTCCTGCAGAATGGTCTTACTCGTTGTGGAGCAAAAGTAGGGAAGGCGCTGGCCCGCAGTCCTCACTGCCACCTCCTGCCTGCCCGATGCACTGGCTGCAGTGCTGTCAGCTGTGTCACCGTCGTCTGCTGCCCAGATCCTTCGCAACCTCGGAACCTTCACGCTGCTCGGCCAGGACTCGTTCCACCGGGACAACTGGCAGCCTTCCCTCTCCCCGCTCGGAATGATCTGCATTGCTGGCCGAAAGGAGGAGCACCCATAGATATCCCAGTTGATCTTGACCCGGTCTTTCAATGTCGGCGGTCTTTTCTGGCTGCTTGTGGAAGGGCCGGGCATAGCAGCAGCCAGGGGAGAAGGCGATTTAGCATCTCTGGGTGCTGATGCACCCATAGGATTCTTGTCCCCCTCACTGGCAGGACCTGCAACCTGCGCAGAATCTGCTGGCTCAGCATTGGTTGGCCCTGACATGGCAAGAGATGCGCTCTGTGCGGGGCTGACTGCCTCTCTGGCAGAATCTCTGCCAGTGCTGTGGGGTGAGCCAGGCCCCTGCTGGTGGGCTGCGTCTGGGTCCCAGTGAAGGTTCCAGGTGGCTTCCTTCTGCTGCCTCCCTCCTGGCTTGGAGATCCCAGCAGCAGCTCTTGTGTCCTCTCGAGCATGGCCATCTTTTCGTCTCCGTGTTGCTGGCATCTTTTCAGTCTTGGTGGCCGGCACCTGGGCTGTCCTTGCAGGTGTTGCCACACTGCTGGGAGGGGCGTAGTGCCTTTGTACCCTCAGCTGCACCCTGGTCTTTGGCTCCTGGCTGCAGCATGGCTTGGGGTTGGCCTGTTGTCTTGCTGGGGTCTGGCCTGCAGAGGCGCCAGAATGGATGCGGGGGCTTGCAGGGCTGTCCCCCGGCTCTCGGCAGTTGCTGCCATTTGCTCTTTTCTCACATGTCCTTGAGGACGTGGGACGACCTCGGGGAGTCTGACAGCCTTGGTGCTCGTGATGCAGTCTCTGCATGGCACAGAAGAGGTGGAGCCTGCTACTGACAGACTGGGCAGCCGGGGGATAGTTGAAGCTCCCACTGAATGCCGATGTGTAGTTCTCAGTGTCGCTGCCTGCCTTGGCAGAGGCGGCAAGGCTGGTAGAGGATCTCTCCGTTCACCGGTGGCACTGCTGCCGGGCAGTGCCTGCCTCAGCTTCAGGCTGTCTGTCTGCAAGGGAAGCCAAGGAGAAAGGTGATGTTACCGTAGTCCTTTCCCACCTGCCCACCTCCAGCACCTGCCCACCTGCCCCCTCCAGCACGTGCCGCCTCCTTGTCAGCAGCTCCCAGGGCTTGGGAAGGCATCTGGCCCCATCTCACTTGGGCTCCCTACCTGTGTGCTCTTCTTCCTAGAGGCCTGTGACTTCTGTGGACAGTGGAGCTGTGGCAGCCTCACCCGTGGATGGACAAGGATGGAGTCTGGCTGCACAGCGGTCCTGCCTGTGGCGGTTTGGGTTGCACCTGTGGGGAGAAGGAGGTGTGGGATGGTGGTGGCTGCGCTGCCACCAGCATCCCTTGTGGTGCCTGGACACCCAGCCCCACCTCAGTGCCACATCCTTCGGACAGAGTGCTGCCCGACCCACGCGAGTCACAGCCATCCCAGGCCTCAGCTCTGCCCCAGAGAAACCCCTGGGGCACGAGAACCTGGGCCTGGACCGCAGACACTCAGGGCCAGGCCTCGCGCCCCGGTACCATGCTCCGCCACCTGGCACTCTCTCTCCTGTGTCTGCCCTCTCCCTCCCTCCCTGTCCCGCACCTGGTGGTGCTTCTTCATGCTCGGCAGCCCTTTGTTGGGCTGGGAGCAGGCCTTCGCCTCTTGCTCCTTCGGCATCCCTTTGTCCTCTCACAGAGACAAAGAAACAGGCACCCAGGGCAGCTGCTGCCTCCTGACGGCGCTGCACTCCTGGGAGTGAGCACCACGGGGGCTCGGGCCATATAAGTCACACCGTCACCATGGGGACGCTTGCCGTGTCACAATGGTCTTGTGGCCTGACGCCGCCCCACGTCACAAAGCCTGAGTGCTTGCTGTGGAGCCTCCTTGTTCCCGGCAGCCTCCCGTCAAGACACCAGCTCACAGCAAGGTGGGGGTCAGGAGACACCTCTGGGCTGCTCTAGTCCAGGCCCGCTCTGTCATCGTGGCAGCCCTCTGCCGGACATTTCTCCAGAGGCGCTGTCATCATCCCGCACAGGCTCACTCTTGCCTGCAGTGGGGCTGTTGGAAGTGCCTGGAACTACACTGTGCCTGGCACGGGGCAGCCCTTCTTGTGTTAGATCTTTTCCTTTGTCCGGCATTTGGTAAGGCCTGCCATCCAATATCTCCAAAGGGGCTTAGTTTGACCAAGTTTGCTCCTGGGGGATGGATGGAGCCCGTGGTAGGGAGCCGTGTGCGAGCAGTGCTTGAGGAGCTGCTGCCTTTGGCAGCCCCTGCAGGCTCAGTTCGGGAGTCCCGTGTGAGGGATGAAGTTCTGTGTTTTTTGTTTTGTTTTGTTTTGTTTTTGTGAAGAAAGCGGGTGTTGAAGAAGGAAATGCAGAGTTGCCTTTGTTTGTCACTCGATGGTCTTGAGGTCTCTTCCAACGTAGACATTCTGTGATTCTGTGAAGTCACAAACGCCAAGGCGTCACACTGGCTGGCTCTGCAGCACAGATGCCAGGAGTGCCGCTTGGCATGGCGGCGGCGGCGCGGTGCCCCAGCCCCAGGCCCGTCCCAGCCCCAGCGCACGTCGCCCTCCGCTCCCCCATGGAGCCCCCCGCCGCCTCAGCAGCCCCGCGGCGGACGCCCCATGGCGGAGCCGCCCCCGAGGAGAAGGAGCCCGCAGCCCTCTGCCCGCACCGCACCGCACCAAGCGCCGCGCAACGGCTGCCACCGCCGCGGGGGCTCCTGGTGTGAGCGCCAAGCGGTGGCAAGGGGGGGCTGCGCTTCCTGCGTCGAGCTGCTGGACACCGGCTTGCCTGGGCAATTGCCCATGTTGCTGAGGAGGCAACAGAGCCAAAGCCCTTGGGCTGAAGATCCAGCACGGCTGGGGAGGCTTTGGCGTTTCTGCACAATGCTGCTCAATCCTGCTTGGGAGCCCAGCCTCAGGTGCGGAATGAAGCCAAGCAAGCTCGAGGGAAACTGTGTGCTGGTAACTGGTCAGTTCTTGCTTTCTTTTTCATTCCTCACGCCTAAGAAAACCTAACTCTTTCAAGCACTTGTTGGATGGACTTGATTCTGGGTGTGCTCCTTAAGCTTGTTTGGCAGCTGTTGAACCCCGCTACACTTGCAGGAGACCTATGCTCGAGTTGATGCTTGCTGTGATCAAGCGCTGTTCTTTTGCTCTTCTTTGCTTTGGGGATGGCGGGTGAGGTTGCAAAGAGTTTTCAGGAGGATTCCTCTTTTCCTTTGCAGAATGCCAGACTGCGTATTAGAGCTGATCTTCATCTCTGCTCGGAAAAGCTTCACGGGCCAAAAGAGAATGGAGATGAGGAAGGCAATGGAGAATGATGAGGACTATTTGCAGTCAGCACCCGTAAGCTTTGTGAAAGAATCAGGTGCATTTCTGTAGTGGTAGAAAGCGTAGCTGGAAAGACTTCCTAAGGACGTCAAGTCCAATTCCTTGTTCTCAGTTAGAGCAATCCCGTAGTTTAGACTCCTGATAAGGTATTTGTCTGTAGGCAGCTGCCAACTTGTCCAGCTAATCCAATTCAGCCTGGAAAACAAGCAAGCAAGCAAGCAAGCAAAAAGCACAGAAACCTGCAGTTTATGGAGTGCAACTGTCTCCTTTCCAATCGCATGGGTTTCACCAAGTTTGGGGTGACTCCAGGGCTGGCTTGCCAGGGAGACTTTCTTGAATTGCTGGCAGATCAGCCAGAAGGGCAATACAAGGCCCTGGCTAAACACAATCTGTAGGCTGCTTCTAGATCAACAGTTTCCTTGGTTACTCCACAACCTCCACAATCTCCACTTGCTTCGAAGCTCTGAAGATTGCAAGTCCACTTTGTGTTTTTCAGCCCCTCTGTGTCAAACGGTAAGAGTTTTCCCTGGCTGTTAAAACAGAAAGGACAACAGCCCCTCCTCTGGGTCTTCAGAAGGCTCCTAAGATCCCCCAGACTGGCTAAGTAGCGACGCTCTAGTATAGCTGCATCTAGATGCAGTAGAGCTAGATGGTGGGAGAGATGGTATGCTAGATGGTGCTCTAGCATGGACGTGACACGCTTTGACAGCATCTTTTCTCTGACAGCAACTTCTGCCTTGGCTCTTCCCATCAAGCCAGAGCAGTTTCTTGGCCTGCGCAACCTGCAGACTGACCTCTCGTGTGTATCCGTGCTGGACTGAGGGTAATGTTTGGAACACACACTGATGCTGTATTCACTAGAACTTTGAGAAGAGAGAGCAAGAAGCTAACCTGCAGACGAGTTTCTTAGGTTTCTGTAGAGAGAGGGAGATATACATGCATACATATTTACTTCTGTCTTTACTTCTTTCAAGATAGCTTTTGTTCTCCAAAATGAATCCTCTGACTGTTACTAATGTATGGGACACACCTTGACACTCTAATGGCATAGAAATACTTTTCAGCTCATCCTTGCTATTGTTTCTGGATTGAAAAAATAATTGTGAATATGATTACCTGCTTGGAATCTTTTTTTTTTTTTTAATATATACCTATTCTATTATGAAATCCTATAGGAAGGAGTGAACTCAAGAGGAAAAAAAAAAAAAAGAAAACAATTTTAATTCCACTTCTAAATTAGATATCTAATCCTGATAGATTCACTCCCTTCCAAACAGAGCTCAACAAATGAAACAGTAAAAAATGCACATAATATTTCTTCTATGCCAAGATTTCATGGCACAATAGTTCTTTGCCTAACCCTGCAATAGCCCCATAGGCATTGCAATTGCTTACTTGTTCTTCTTCTTTGCTTGTGTTTAGTGTTTGCTTTTCTAATGTTACAACATTGGATTGATTTCCCTCCTTAGGTATCAAGAGAAGAAGGCATTTGCTTCAGAGGACAGTACTTTGATGCTTTCCAGGGCTAATGGCCAAAGTTCTCCAAGCACTTTTTTTTTTTTTCTTTTTTTTCTTTTTCCCCATCAGTGATTTATACATTTGTCAATCTTTCCATCTTCATTTACAACTCCGAATTTAGGTTTTAGGTGAACAAGAACCCTGAAACCAGCTGAAGCCATATCAGACATGAAGCCATATCAGACATAGTAAGGACATGTGTCTGTGAGGAAGTAATTCCGAGTGATTCTCTGGTGTCCTTTGGACAGCTTTCCTCTGGTCCTCTGCACTAGGCATCCCCAAGGGATATTTCAAAGCTCTCGGCATGATCTGTCATTCTCTCTTCCACTGGAGTTTCCATTAGAAAAGCGTGACTATTCCTTGCCCATGTGGAAAAGAAGTCCTCCTTGAGTTGTTTCTAACCAAAACCTCTTTCTTGTGTTCTATGGACAGAAACCACTTGGCTAGACAAACTCAATCCTTGCAAATGGAAGGAGTGGAAGTACTTCAGCAGCGTGCTTCGGCTTCTAAGCAGAACTGTAATGTAGGTGGGGACAGAGCAAGAGGACATGGCCAAGCCAGGGTGGACTTGAAAGTGCCGTGTCCGAGCCACAGCAAGAAATCCGTGATTGCCACTTGGAGACGGCTGCTCACCTAGTAGCACAGCAGCTGGAACGCTTCTGGATCCTGCTGATGGATTGCCACGAATCAGGCAGTGACACAAGCTACGAGAACGACGGAAGTGACTGGAAGTGATGCTTCTCCCTGTTCTCCATTGCAATTTGTGAAAGAAAGGAGAAGAGAGGAGAAGAAGAAAGGAGAAGACGGGAGGGAAGGGGAGGGAACGAAGAGAACGGGAGGGAGGGGAGGGAAGGGTAAAAACGAGAAGGGGAGGGGAGGGAAGGGCAGGGGAGGGCAGGGGAGGGCACGGGAGCAGAGTGTAGTGGAGTGTAGGGTAGTGTATGGGAGTGTAGGGGAACTGAGTGAAGGGGAGGGTAGGGGAGCAGAGTGTAGGGGAACTGAGTGAAGGGGAAGGTAGGGGAGGTGTGTCTAGTGGAGTGTAGGGGAGCATAGTGTAGGGGAGTGTAGAGTAGTGTGTGGTAGTGTAGGGTAGTGTAGGGGAGGGGATTGTAGGTGAGGAGAGTGTAGGGGAGCGTAGGGGAGGAGAGTATAGGGGAGTGTAGGAGAGGAGAGTGTAGGGGAGCTTAGGGGGATGAGTGTAGGGGAGTATAGGGGAGGAGAGAGCCAGGGAAGGAAGTGGAGGGGAGGAGAGGGAAGGGGAAGGAGGGAATATTGCCTTATTTGTTGCCTTTTTACTGTCTTTGTATAGAGCCATGACAGGCAAAATAAACTATGTTGGTGAAAAGGACGTCTTTGTCTGGTGTGATTCCCGCTCCCCCAGTTTAAATTAATCAAGAATAATCTGCTCCTGGTTGAGGTCTTCCCTTACTAGTGCAGTGCTAGGACCTACGTGGTCAATGTGCTGAGGATGTGCAAGAGTCTTAGAAAACAGTCATGTTTTCCTCCCTCCTTGCTTCTTTATGAAATAAACATGATATCATCCAGCACTGGGCTGTTTTTCATGACGGAAATTCACTTCTACCCTGCACAACAAAGCTTATGATATATCCAGACCAGAGCTAAGCCGTCAGCTTGGGCAGCCACTGTCAGGCGTTCGCTTCTGTGCAGTCACCCCTTGGGGAAGCCACTTGCACTGGTTGCTTTCCTCACAAGTTTACCAAGTTTGCGTAAAGCTCCAAAGCTCAGGCCTATGCAGACACAGCCCTGCTGCCCCTTTAACACACAAGAGGGGGCTATTGTTCACAACAGCTTTGCCAGGGCTTCTCTCCGTTTTTTGTTGGAAATCCAGTCCTTGCTTGCAGATTGGCTTTTTCAATTCGGTGATTAGTGGGTACTGGAAGGTTCAAAAACAACACCTGACAATCTTGTCCATACGTAGGTAAGGAGAGATCTAAGGAAGGAACAGGTTGCAATACCTAAGGCTTATGCATGGCTCAAGCTTCCAGTTGAGCTGTGAAATCCACGCCTCAGGTCACTTGAGGTACCAGGAGTCCCTGTAGAACATACAGGGGTCTCCAGCAGTGAGGTTCCCTGAGCAGAGGGCTTCAAGAGCTCCACAGGGAATGAAAAGAAGACTTGTGATATCCATGAGGAATGTGGCTTGCTCTCGGCAATGGAGACAAATTCCTTTCTGATTAATGCTCCACCCTGCTCCACTCCAGGGACAGACGCCTATGGCAACCTGGTCCCAGTACGTCGTACTAGGATGAGGGTGGCAGGGACTGTCCCCATTCATTTTCTTTCTTCAGGGTGGCCATGCCTCCTCTCTGGCTGAAGGTGGGCTTCATGGCCCATGTGAAGGGGAGAGGTCTGGGGAAGGACTGAAAAACTTGAGAAATACTCCGAGGATAAATCAAAAGTTGGTTGCACTGAAGTAGATAGGAAGTGCAAATGATAGCCTGGGTAGATTTGCTGCAAAGAATCTGAAGAGTCTGGGTCTGCTTGCCAGAGCACTCATCCCAGTGGCTCATGATTTCTTCTGCAACAGTTTTGGTTTGTTGTTCCCCAAGTCAGGACGGAATTTTGGGAATGCTCTTACACTTAGCTCATGAAAGAAAGACATGTTCTTTTGTTCTTTACTAGGTATGATTTTACCTGCTTCGATTGAGGGTACTTAGGCTATGCTATACAACTCTTCTTCACAAGAATAGTCTTCTCTATACAACTCTGTGTAGTTGGTCTAATGAAATGAAAGGAACAGTGTCAATTTACAGGAACAGTGTCAATTCCAGCATTTGAAGCAGTGCTGTGGCTTCATAATTAATAGACAGCTTTTAGAAGAACAGACAAAAATGATTCTATCTATCTTTATTTCCTGTGTAGACTTACTTATGTGGTTCTTTCCCATTCCTACTAATCCAGTTATTCACATACAGACCGGAGTTATGCACTAAACAATGATGTCAGTCTGTCACTTTCTGTCATGATGTAATTATTGCTTACAAGCAGCAGTCAATTGAACAAAGCCTTTCACGTGACTGGCTGTCTAACAACTATGCTGCTGTTGTATTTCCCAGGTGAACCACTTCAGAATTTCATAGAAGTGAAGAAGGATACCTATATGGTATGCTATCTGGCTACCCAGGTGTAGTCTGTTGGTTCCAAAACTGCCTGTCTTCACCTTGGGCAAAAGAACACAAGGTACTCAATATTGAAAAGATACCAGATAAGCATTAGTACCTTGAGTGTCGTAAGTACTCCAAGCCCGAAGGGAATTGCCACATTTCCTCTTGGCCAGCACAGCAGTGGTGTTTTTAATATCTTGGAAAACAAAACGATCAGGTATGCTGTGAATCAGCTGGCAATTTGCTTTGTGGCTTTTCTCATGAATTCTGCACGCTTCCTTTCTTTGGAGATACTTGACTTGTCCATCCAGGTCTTTCTTCTTCAAGAAAGTAGAAGCATCTCAAAAGCAAAAAGTTACCAAGGTGTTTGAAAACAGGAGTCCAAATCTAACAGATGTAGGGATTTATAACAGAGGAAGTGGAGACAAAGATCAGCCATGAAATAGATGTGAGAAAAACACAGGTAGCAGTGTCCCGTGCGGATAAAGGAAAAGAGATAACCAAATGTCTTTCTTGAAGTGGAATAAGAATGGGGAAAACAAGACTCATGGGAAAAGCAAGCATCTTAGCTGGGATTGACACTAAGTAAAAAGCTACTACGCAGAAGTCTGTAGCTGTTGTAAAGTTGCCATGCCGTTTTGCAGAGCAGAACGCAAGCACATCACCGTGCATTCTGGGCTTAGAGGAAGAAGCTCGTGAATTCTTGGTAGTTCTCATTCTGAAGTGAAGGGTCTGTAATGTGCATATTGAAGCAAAAGTCACACTTGTACAATATGTATAGAATTCCCTGGAGCATTTAACAAAAACGCCTGACTGGTAAGGTAGGACTGGTTAGAAATGCTCGCAAGTTGGGTGACAGCTGATGACTAGGTTACAGTGCAGAGTAACCTTGGATTTCAGATGACAACATTGCGGTTGTGCCAGAAGATAAGCTGTAGATCACCTTACACGAGCATGACATTTATTTCATCCATTCTTGTAGAAAAAGGGAAGGATTAATTCATTAGGAGGAAAGAGGCACAAGAATACAGTATGCCTCTTTGATTTGTTCCATACCAAGTGGACATCAAGAAATACAGGCCTAGAAACCCAATGACAATCTTCTCTACATCTATGTCCAAAACCTAATTTGATGGAAATCTCAGAGCATGTGCTACTACAAGACTAACAATGAAGATCCTCTGCCCAGAAGAGTCTTTCAGAAAATGCTTCTCTCTACTCCAAATTGTCTCAGAGCAGAAGCCCCTGAAAGAAAAAAGAGCCTCGCTGCAGAAACACATAGCTTTCCCAGTGAAGATTGCTCAAGACTTAGTGCTGGAAGCCTGTTGTCGGAACTGAGCAAATGACTGCTTGAACAAGAATTGGTTTCCAGCAGCCTCTGCTCCATAGTGGCAACATCTGGCCAGAGGAAGACAGCAAGCCAAGAGGAGACTTGCCTTTGGATCTGTGCCAGCCTCAGTCAATCCTTCTGCACACAATTCAGCTGTCACCCCCATGGAAGACAAACACCTGCGAGGAAGTACAGAAACTGCTGGGATTGGAGGTGGTGGTATTGCAACCAGCTTTGGCTGCATTCTTCGACAAGAACAAGGACAAGATCATATTTTGACAGATTTGTTGTTGCATTGCTTCACTCTCTCCAGCACAGTAAAATGGTGACACTGATGGACAGTAAAACCAGTTCATTTTCTTCCTATGAAAGTTTCTCTTCGGGTCTTCTTCCCAGACTCCACTCTTTTCCAGTGGCTATGGCTTGAAAGCAAGACCAAGGACATAAAGACAAGATTCTCTTCAACAATCAGGTTTGCTTATGGACAGAAGAAGTAAGGTTAAGACACGGCTGAAGATGAGTGAGAAATTACCAGAGAGGTGGGCTCATCAGAGAAAGGCTGTAGCAAAAACCAGTCTGTTGGGTTAGTTCTTACTCTACATTTTTAAGCACTTGTAACTCATCTTGGTGCCAGGAACTGCAGTTTACTTTTCAACTTCTTTTTTATAATTTGTGATAGTTACATATTTTCAGTCCAAAAATAAGATAAATTGAAAGCTGACTCTAGGGTAAAAATACATAAAAAACAGAGCTGTGTATAGAAATTAAAATAAAATAAAATAAAATAAAATAAAATAAAATAAAATAAAATAAAATAAAATAAAATAAAATAAAATAAAATAAAATAAAATAAAATAAAATAAAAAAGGATTCTGACCTACTTATTATGTATTTTTAATTTCCTTCATAACTTACCAAGGAACAGACTGGATTTGAATAAGAGCTTTCTTTCTCCACCTCTCAGCCTTTCCTGTCTTTGACAGACTTCCGCAGTCAGCCAGTTCTTGCTGTTTCCGTGATCTCTGCACAGAGTCTTGTACTCCCTTATCTTCGGGTGGGTAACCTGCAATGGTGTTCGCTCAGACCTAGGAATCACCAGCCTTCATCTTGTTCCCTGTCTCACTACAGAGCTCACCCTGACATCCCTGTTGGAAGGAGAAGGCTTTCTTAGCGGAGAGGACTACTGTGCATGGCTGCCCTGTGTCTCCGTTGATCAGACTCACAGCAAAGTAAACCACATGAGGATGAAACGGATTTCCCTCTGGACGGATCAGAGT